CAACACCACCCCATCCTGGAGGGCCCCAGTCAGCAGGCCAACACCACCCATCCTGGAGGGCCCCAGGTCAGCAGGTCAAAGTCACCTTCCTGGAGGTGCCTCAGGGCCACTCTGGCACCAGTGTTGGATCAGCAGAGCCACGGGGGAGGTGGAAAGCGTTGGTGGCTCCAGTAGCAATGACTCACTGTGAAGGGCTGTTGGGTGGCTGTGGTCCTTGGCCTGGTGACTGGGGGAAATAAACACTGGGGATCAAGGGAGGAGTGACGGCCAAATTGAGAGATGGAGCCTGCCACTCGAACACAGCAGCCATGGCCCCCACTCCAGCTCAGGTGGCCGGGCCCCTCTCAGGTAGGCTGGACACACGTTCTCTCCTGCACCTATGACACACCCACAAGCCCCTTCTCGCAGGACGCGGCCTGAGACCCTGGCTATGGAGGCTGGGCCAATGGTTCCATGAGGGGGACCCCAGGCAGGGCAAGACCCCAAGGACCCTGTCCCAGCACCCCGAGTGCCCAGACCCAGAGGACACGCCTGTGGATGCTGGGCTGTGCCAGGGTACAGGACCTGCCCGTCTAAGAACGCGGAGACGGGGAGGGCGGGGCCAAGGTGGCCCCCACAGCGGTGGAAAGGCCTATTCTCTAGACATGGGCTGGTCCCAGGACTAAAGTGGGGAGGGGCGGCACCTCTGCAGAGGGTCCCTGCTTTGCCCTGACCTCCTCTAAGAGAGAGGGTTGGGACCCATCCTGCAGGGCTGTGTGGCTGGGGTGGCGCTCAGGCAGGACCGCCTGGCATCCGGGTTCAAACGGAGGCTCCCCGCTGGGGCTGATCTGCAGCCCCTCGGCTTGGCCAGCTTCTCCTGGCTACCAGGTGCCCAGATAGGACCGGGGCCTCCTGAGCACCTCCAGACTGGGGAGAACCAGGAACCAGGGCACCCCCAGAGGTGATCCGGCCTTTGAGCCCCAGGTCTCCAGGGGGCCTCCGGCAAGGGGCCAGGGGCAAGGGCTGCTCTGAGTAGACTGTGGTGACCAGCCTGGGCGTGAGGAAGGGAGTGTGCAGAGCCGGCCCTGGGGCCAGGAGGCCGTGCTGAGAGTGGGGACGCAGCCTTTCTCATCCTCTGAGGTTCTTCAGCTTGGGGACCAGAGGCTCCATGACCTTCCAAAAGGGTCTGCTGTTGTCAGGGTGTGGAAAGTCTCCACAGGACTCTGGCTACCCAAGGTGGTCGCACTCTGGGGGGGAGTCCAGCCAGACTGGATAGATCCTGGCCCTTCCCAGCTCCCCACTAGGCTGACCTGGACCTGGTCCCACTTAGGCCAGCAGGCCAGGTGGCCGCAAGGCTGACTGCAGCTCCTGACTCTGGGCTGGTTTCTGCCTGGGGCAGGGGGCTTCAGAGACAGCCAGGGAGCTGAGTTGGGGCCCCTCCCGAGCGTCAGGGAGGTGGGGGTGGGGTCTGAACCCACCCAGTCTGCAGCTGGAGGTGGCCCTCCTCCCAGCGCATGGCCCTCAAGGGCCATCTGAATGTGTACCGGAAGCTCCAACTCCACCAGCGTGGGCATTCTGGTAAAGGGTAGCCTTGAGGGACTGTCTGCTCAGGATCCTGGCTATGTGACCTGGCCCTCGCAGAGGCCAAGGGCTCCTGGGATTCTGAAATGGAAGCTGGTCACCAGTGGGGCCTGGAGAAGGGAAAGCCTGGGTCCCCACTGGGCCTCTGTGCTCAGAGACCCCCCATCAACAAGCAGAGCTGAGTCCCTGGTCCATGCTTTGAAGCCATGAAAGACCGCCACAGGCCTGTTTTGAAGCCCTCTGGCCCAGGAGGGCCTCCTGACAGTCCCCAGCGGGCAGGCGGAACCCACCACCCTGTCAGAGACTGAAGGGAAAGGACACCAGGGAGGTGGCTGCAAAGCCCTCACCAGCAGCTGGGGACAGAAAACCCTGGCCAGCATCTTTGGCACAGGCAGGAGGAAAGGGCAGAGGTCCTGGCTTTCCTGCCCAACAACTCAGTGGACTGAAGGGTCAAGAGATGGGAGCGAGGAAAGAGAGGGACTTGGGAGGCCAGGGCCAGAGGAGCCAGAGGCCCTGGGCAGCCATGCCCCTCAGCAAGGGACCCAGTAGCCCGGGCTGCATCGGCCCCTCCCCCACCCCAGACCCCCTGGAACTCCCCACCTCGGAACTGCTTCAGGGGCCACCCTGCATCACAAAGGACCCCAGGAAGTTGCTCAGTGTGACCTCCCAGCGTGGCCCCACCTGACCTGCCTTCCTCCACCTGAGCCCACCTGCTTGGCCTGACTCACCCCAGCCCTGGGTGTCCCTGTGCCACTCCGAGTAGAAAGGTGAGGTGCTGTGTGTGTGCCCTGTGGCTGGCTTCCTGGGCAGCACCTTGAAGGCCCCTCCCTGTGCCAGCCCAGTTCATGCAGGACAGGCGGGCACTTCCTGTAGGGCTCCACCTGGGCAGCGGCCCCTCTGGCACAGACAGCCTTGCCAGAGGCCCCGTGTCCCCCCATGTGCAGTGGAGGGCCTGGAGCAGGCCATGTGCGGTGGGAGTGAGAGCAGGTCAGACTGCAGGACGGAGGCCAGGATGGGGCTGGGCAGGGCACCGGGTGGCTTCTGCAGCAGGGGACAGGCTGGTTTGGAGGCAGCAGAGACCTCAGAGGAACTCCAGAGGGCCTGGGGCACATCGGCACCAAGGTTCTGGCTCAGCCCAGGGGAGGCGCCAGGCAGCACTGGATTTGGGATCCCTGTGGATCGGGGGAGGCTCAGGTGGAACCCAGAGCCAGGAGACTGAGGGGTGACAGATAAGCTGGCCGTGCAGCCCTCCTGGGGACTGACCTGCATTTCTAAGCCACCCCCCAAGTTGGGCCATTCAGCAGGTGATGCTCAGGTAGGATAAGAGACACATGTGAGCCCCCAGTGAGTCAGGACGGGGACTCGGGCACAGCCCAGGAGTGTCCTGAGTGAGAATGCTGAACCCAAGCACTGGTCAGTCTCATTGGCGCCCACGACTGGGCACATCTTCCTCATCTGTCCCGAAGGCTCCCGCCTTCCTGTGGGGTCAGGCTGGGGCACCGCACGTGGGGCGTGGTCCTGCTCGACGGCTGTGGCCTGAAGCACAGGAAGGCAGCCCCTGCTCCCAGGGACCCCAGCAGGGGCAGCCAGGGATGCGCTCACCCCCACTCCCCACGCACACTCAGGCACAGCCCAGCAAACACACACATGCACTCACACCTGCACACACACACTCACATGCCCACAGGAGCACAGACAGACCTGGAAGCCCTCAGAGTACTGTCCCTGTCCCTGCTTGCCAGCCCTCTGTCCTGCCCACAGCAGCAACCTGTCCCCAGTTCTGTCTGTCCTCACTGCTGCCCGCTATCTGCCTGGCTCAAGAAGGTGCCCTCTGTACTGACAAGATGGGGGACATGACCAGAGTGGCACCCAGCCAGATGGCTGCTGGGGCTGGGCTTCAAGGCTGTCTGGCCCTGTGGTCCTTCCCTGGCCTGTGTGGTCACCACTGGTGCTGATCATTTATGCCCTCTTCTCATGCTCCTGGGCTCCAACAGGAAACACGGACAGAAAGCCCAGTGGTGAGAGCCACCTCCCTGACCCAGCACCCAGGATCAGAGTACCAGGGTGCCCCGGGCACAAACAGCCCTGCAGGCTCCGTGGCAGAGGCCCCTCAGGAATGCAGGAGCTGAGCCCCCAGTCTGGAGTGCAGATCCCAAGCTGTGAACAGCAAGGGTCCAGCCCCTGCCCGCCAGAGGGGCCCAGAGAGAAGCTGACCTTGAGAGGAAGCTGCCACCATGGCCAGCTGGTGGGACCTTCCCTACCACAGGTGCCCCCTACCCTGGGCACTCGGAGGCTGCAGTCTTTGGCTAGTGCAAGAGCCCAGAGACCCAAAAACAGGAAGTGACCATCCCCCAGCCAGCAGAGGACAGGGCTTTGGAGCTGCCCTTGGCCACCTCTCCCTGCCCTTGGCCGGGGGTGCTCAGCTGTGCGCTCTCCTGTCCAGAACTTTGCTGATGGGGAAGTCGGAAAGCCCAATGGGGATGGAGAGAGCCAGCCCACCCGCGCAGAAGCGCAGAGGCTTCCTAGAGTGGGCGCTGCTGCTGCTGGTGACAGCAGCCCTGGTGGTCCTGGGCATCCTCTACAGCAGAGGTGAGTGAGGACGCTGCCCCCCACCACCCACCCCGCCCCACAGGCCTGCTTGCCCCCAGTGGGGCCTGAGGGGCAGCCCAGGTCCCAGAGGCCCTCAGAGTCCTACCGCCGGCAACAGAGAGGGTCCCAGAGGGACGCTGCCCTCTGGGGAGCCAGTAGCCCCTTTCAGAAAGCTCTGCGTCACAGCTGCTCCTGCGGGCTCTGCAAGCTCTGCCTCCGCCCCCTCTGCCTCTGCAGGACTTCTGGATGCCAAAGGCAGGCCCCTGCCCCATCCCGCAGGCCCCCTCCCAGGCCTTGGCCAGCAGCCCGCAGAGCACAGCTGCAGTTCCCGGCCAGCCCAGCAGGAGGAGCCCGGGCTCCTGAGCTGGGTCCCACCCCTGCGAGGCTCTGCTCACCTGGCCGCCTTCCTCAGTGCCAGTATCCACCCCTGCCCTGCCAGAGGCCCCAGCTGTAGTCCCTGGGCCCAGTGGCTTCTGAGACAGAGTCTGCTAATCGCAGGACAGTGGGAGGGGCCATTCTGGGTACCCACGGAGATGGAGGTGTGGCCAGGACTGCCCTCAGGGACCCTGAGCTGCCCTGGTGCCCCTTCTCCTTTGCTCTCCCCACAACCACCCACGTAGAGGAACCAGAATGCTCCTCTTCAGGTGGAGTGGGGTGAACGCCCAGGCACCGGGCAGCCCTGGCTTTGAGGGGAACCCAGCTTCAGCGTGCAAGGGGCCCCTCTCCTGCCTCTGCGGGAGCCCACCCTGCAAGAGAAGAGGCCCTCACTCCCCCTTGCAGTGTGGGGTCCTCGGTGAGCTCTCTGCCTCCTCCCACCTTCACACCTCTGCCCCATTTCTTGCCCACCTCTCCCTCCCCTCCTGCATACTGAGCTCTTGGACAATTGGGCTCTCCCTGGCCCTCCGGGGCCTGCAGCCTTGGGCTCCTCAGCTGTGACCCCCCAGGAATGACCCAGGCTAACCTTGGCCTCAGTCCCGGATGAGGGGGCAGGAGCTTCTACATGCAGCCTGTTCATTGATCGTTTCCAAGAGTTCTTTCTCATTTCCATGTTCTTTCTTGATGTGTGAGTGATTTAGATTTATTTCCTTAAATCTAGATTTAAATTATTGCCGGTTTCTGGCTTACTTGTGCTGTTGCCAGAAGCCCCGGTTCGAGCTGTTCTTGGTGAGGTTCTCTGGTGCTTGCTGGGGCTGGCCGGGGGGCTGACTCTGGCTCCGTCCCCACAGTGCAGGTGCCCTGGTGGGACACGCAGCCCTGATGCTGCTGGAAGTGCTCCTCCGTGGCCGCGAGGTCAGCAACTCCTGCAGGCCTTGTCTTCTTCATTCTCTTGATCTTCAGTCATCGAGGGGTGTGCGTGTGTGTGCGCGTGCACGTGTGTACGCAAACAGTGGTGTCAGTTTCTTGTATCCATTTATCCACCTTAGATGTTTAGGGCTGTATTATCACATGGGCACAGACTTAGATAAAACCAAAGCTTGGCTTTATAAGTATGAGGCAGGTTTCACATGTAGATATACGTAGAGAATCCTCTATCTTCCACGAACACCGTGCCCAGGGGGTCTGAGCGCCGCTCTTTGCCCTGAGTTCTTTGGTCTCCGTCCTCCTGCCTGAGTAAACACGCAGTGCTCAGTGGAATTGCTCAGTGGAATCGCTTGGTCTATCCTTTCCATTCTTTTCCCTTGAAACTTCATGGGCTTTGCCTCCCAGGTGCCCCTGGCAGAGGTGGGTGGTGGGTTTGATCTTTGTCTTCTCCCTGTCTGCATTCGCACTCAGTACCACAGCGCCCCCTGTCTGCGGTTCCCTGTCAGCACCACAGCGCCCCCTCTGAGTTCGCAGTCAGCACCACAGCGCCCCCTGTCTGCGGTTCCCTGTCAGCACCACAGCGCCCCCTCTCTGCGGTGTTCTCCTGCCTGCCTTTGCTCTTCTCCCACCTTCTGGATTGCTCTATCACAATTCACTCCGTGTTCCCTCAACTCACTTGGAACTTTTATATTTCTGTCCTTTGGATGGTTATCTTCGATTCGTTCATTTAATTATTGGCTATTGAAGGTCACCAATAAGCCTTTTTATAACAAAGTCACATGACAGTCCTGTGCCCCAAACCTGCCCATCCTGGATTCTACTCCACAGAAGCAGTCCTGCTCTTCCCCTGGCGCCACGGCCCCCGGCCTGCTTCTGTAGATACAGGTCTGTTGGACACAGCAGCACCCACTCACGCAGCACGGCCTGTGGCTGCTCTCTGCTGGCCGGCAATGTGAGTAGAGAGGTGGTGACTACGCATGGCCACAGAACCTCTGGCCTGTACAGAAACAGCGCCAGCCCCTGGACCAGGGCGCCTCCTCATGCATCTGGAGCTCGCTGTCCACCCTCGGCCCTTTGCTACATGGTGTAGACTGTGAGTGGGCACCATGTGGCTGTGGTTAACACCCAGACTTCAAGTGGACAGCCCTGCTGGCCACCCGACTCTCCAAACCCAGATGCCTGTGCTCGGGTGGTTTCCATGACTCCTCTGTGCCTCGGTTTCCTGCTGTGAACGCACGTCAGGAGCACTGGCACGAGAGCCTCACTGGAAGGTTCATGACTTCATACACCAGTGACAGTTAGAAAACTGTCTGTCGTGCAGTTGGTGGTCAGTGCAATCCTCAAATGTCAGAGTCTGCCACTGGCCCATCAGTATTGCTCCTGACATCTTGTTGGAAGGCACCCACATCTCCACTTCCCAACACAGGCGTAACTATGGCTTCCCATGAAACCCACACTCTGCATTTACCACTTTTTTGGGGGGTGGGGGGTGCCAGGGATAGAACTCGGGGGCACCCGACCACTGAGCCACATCCCCAGCCCTATTTTGTATTTATATATTTAGAGACAGGGTCTCACTGAGTTGCTTAGGACCTTGCTAAGTTGCTGAGACTGGCTTTGGACTTGTGATCCTCCTGTCTTGGCCTCCCGAGCTCTGGGATTACAGGCGTGCACCACAGCGCCCAGCTCATTTACCACTTTCTATGGTGTGTTTGCAGAGCTGAACCATAGAGGATAATGGATTGCAGTTCCTGTATTCATTCTTACTTTGTTTCCTTATCATTACTAACTTGTTTGAAGAGTTATCCTTTTTTTTGCCAAATCATTCTTATTTCAAGGCCTGTCCTGACCCATCTCCAATAACAAAACCATGTGCTTTTTAAAGCAGATTTTAGCTGTGGGACGCTGCCACACGCAGCCAGAGTCTAAATCGTCAGTAACATGCTAGTCACTCGGGATGTAACTCAATTCAAGGTGGCATTTCTAAATTTTAAAATTCTTCTCCTAACCTTTCTAATCTCTACTCCAAAAGCATTTTTTAAAACAGCAAGCAGCTTTTAGTTTTGCACAAGTAGTTATCATTTGCTGTCTCTTATCTGCAAAAGGTCACAAGCTTGAATAAAAGGGGGGGGGCGTTCTGACAGTTTCTGACCTGAACAGCACTTTCTCCTTTGTTGCCCCGAGACCCTGGGTAAATTTTAATGGGCGGCCTCGGGCTGCCTCCCAGGGGTCCCTCGCCTCTCACAGTGAGTCTCCAGGTCTTCAGAGGGTGAGTCTTGCCCACGTCGCTGTGTCTGCCAGGCACTGCACAAGGTGGCATCATTTGCGTCTACAACACAAGGTGCCAGTTCTCTTCCACAACCCCACGAGTCCCACATCCGGGCGACACACCAGTCCTTCTTCCTTTCTAGCCATCCCCCACGCTCCGTCCTGTGGCTCCTGGACTGCAGGCGAGCCACACGTCACCTCCCCACTTGGTTGTCTGGAGAGTCTTCATTCGCACCCATTCTGAGAGACCCTCGCTCTGGGCAGGCTCGTGGGGGGGCCCTCGGGTCTTTCCATGCGGTCACTCCGTCGCCGCTGCCTTGCACCATCTCCTGGGGAGCCTGCTCTGCTCCACCTTCACCCCCTGGTCTCTGAGTGGCTCCCTCTCCTGCAGCCTGCATGAGCTTCTCCCGGGTCCCCAGGAGCCAAGCCGGGGAGTGTCTCTGTGGGGTCTGGGCTGAGTGTGAAGTTCCGACACCTGTCCTGTGGGGTTCCCTTCAGTATTGTGGCTCACAGTTCTCTGACTTTCACTCATTTGGGAAAATACACGTCACCTTTTCAGGTATTTCTTTTGCCCTTTCTCGCTCTCCCTCTTCCTTTCCTCCCCTCTTCTTTTCTCATAAGAGAGCAGGGCAGGTCCTTCCCGGCTCTGTCTTTCCCTCTAGAAATACTTGCACCACGGGCCATCTGCCAGGAGGCCTCCCAGGGCCAATCTGATGGGCTGCTGCCTTTGGGCTTTCACCTTCTAAAACTGTGGGCTAAATAAACAGATTTCAAAGGACCCGGCCCCTGGTAATTTGTGGTAGCAACAAAAAATGGGCTGACCCTCCCCTCGTGGTGGACGGCTGTGCTGACCAGCAGTAGGCTCTTGGGGCAGGCAGGGGCATTCTGGTGCCGGCTGAGTCTCAGCCCTAGGCAGGCCTGCGTGCCCTGCCCCGTGCCCACATCAGCTAGACTCGGCCCCATGCCTGAGCACCCTGCCCACCAGTGGCAGCAGACCTTTGCTGGAGGTCATTCTAGGCTCCTGGGCCCAGAGGGTCTCGTCCTTCTCGTGGGCTAAAGGTGTGTATCGCCACCTTCATGGAGAGCTGTGGGATTTTGCCTCTGGGGATGGCAGGGGTCACCTGCCCCCAGGGGTTCAGATCTCTTGCTCCCAAAGAAAGGGTCCTGGCAAGTGAAGTGGGTTTGTGCCTGTATCACTGCCAGAGTGGGCCCTGCGTCTCAGGGACCCGAGGGAGGCTCCCTCCCGTCTTCCAAGACCCGAGCCATCTTTCTCATGCACCTGGCAAGAGCCTCAGGAGGAACTTGTGGGTTCATGGACGCTCCCAGACGTCAGGGCTCTCCGCTGTTCTCAACTGAGGGGCTCGGCCATGCTTCTGGATAAAGGGCAGCTGACTTCGCCCTGACTCCTTCTGTGGAACATCTCTTACTTCCAGACCCTGCCAGACGCGAAGCTACCCACCACCCAACTTCTCCTGGAGGGGCTCCAGGTCCTCCAAAACTCCAAGATTCTGCGTTCCAGGTATCCTGGGACCTGTGTTCCAGTTATCCTGGGACCGTGGGTCTTTCCTGAATGGGATCCAGGAAAGTGGTGGTTTTTGTGGACCATCTGGCTTTTCTTATGGTTGGGAAGGAAATGATATTTTTGTCATGGCTTCTGACGTTCCTAGGAAGAAGGTAGAACTACTCTGGCTGAAATTTTAGGTGTATACTAAACTTAGTAAAATACTAAGCAAGTTAATATCGCCATAGTTTCTTCCGAACAACGTGAGCATTGACTAACTCTTCTCATGCACACCCCGGCCCTGTGCCCATGCTGCTGCTGTTAGGGACAAGCCAGGAACCCGCAGCGGACGTGCCTGCGTTGACACCATGCCCAGGTGACTCATCTGCACGCTGGAGCTTGGGAAGCCTTGGTTTGGGACAGAGTTCACCGAGCGTGCCTGATAACTGGAATGCCCAGGGAAACGGTGAAGCGGTTGCCTGTCAGTCTGAGCCTGTCTCAGTCGGCTGGGCCTCAGGGAGTGCCGTGGGCTGGGTGGCTTCAGGACCAGAACTGCTGCTTGTCACAGTTCTGAACACTGGAAGTCCAAGACCCAGGTGCCAGACGGCTGGGTCTCAGTGAGGGTTCTCTCTGTGGCTCGCAGATGGCCTCCTCTCACTGCATTCTCCTCTGGGGGCCCAGCGAGCTCTGGTGTCCCTCGCTTTTCTGTAGGGAGACCCTTCCTAACCAGTTAGGGCCCCACCCTGGACCTTTATCTCCCATCAGAGGCCCAACCTCCAAATATAGTCCCGGGCGCTTGCGGCTCCAGCACAGGACCCTGGGCAGATACAAGGAAGCGTGCGTTCATCCCAGGCCTCACCCTGGAGAGCCCAGGAGTCTTCTAAAGCGAGTCCTCCAAATCAGTACCTCCAGCACCTCGGGGCTTTCTGTGGCCCGACACGTGGGGAAGCCCTGCTCTAAAATCATAAATCGCCAGTGGTCTAGACTTCTGGTGACTTGGAATCAGCCTAGCATTCATCTTTCGGGATAGTTTAGCTGGTTATCACACCAGGGCCCAACCCTCTCTCTCAGGGTCTCGGGTGGTTTGCTGCCTTCTGACCGCCACAACTGCTTTCAGAAAACTGCCGTGGCTCCGACCGCGGCTCCGACCGCGGCTCCGACCGTGCCCCTCCTGTAGGCAGACCCGCTTTCCCTCGGTCCTTGCTGGTCTGCGTGCTGACGGGGAGAGATCCAGCCACAGAATCCTCGGTTCCACTTTGGATTTGTTGTGGTCCCTGTTGTGAAGCCTTGATATGTTCATGGGTTCTGGAGGTCTTTAGCCACCATCTGTTTGGACATCACCTCCCACATCTCCTCGGTCCTCTCCTCCTGGGGTCTGGCTCCACACGTGCTCATTCTGCTCACTGTCCCCCAGCTCCCGACTCCCGTCATCTTTCCATCTCTTTTTGACTTTGTCCCACGTCCCAGGTAAACGCTCCAGAACCTCATGCCAACCCACTAAGTCTCTCTTCAGCTCAACTCATCCAGTTTGGGTTTGTGGCTGTTTATAAACCTCAACGACTACAAGGTCTTGGGTCCAGAGTTTTCAACTGAGTATTTTCCAAATTTATTTTTTAAATGTTTCTTGTCTTTATTTTGGGGGGAGCAGGAGGGTACTGGGGACTGAACTTGGGGACCCTCGATCCCTGAGCCACATCCCCAGCCCTATTCTGTATTTTATTTAGAAAAAGGGTCCCACTGAGTTGCTAAGTGCCTCACCGTTGCTAAGGCTGGCTTTGAATCTGCAATCCTCCTGCCTCAGCCTCCCGAGCCACTGGGATGACAGGCGTGTGCCAGTGCACCCGGCCTTGTCTTTAGTCTTGATCATTTTATTTTCTCTGTTTCAAACATACTTGTTTTCCACATCAACTGACTATTGAAGCTTTAAAAAACACCCACCCATACTCACTGGCACAGAGCATTTATGTAACAGGATACACCACCTTTTGGCGGGGGTCAGCCGATCGGTCAGGTTCAATTGGGGTAGCTCTGTTCCTTGGGAATTTCATCCACCCCGAGGACCTGGGCATGTTCCTCCCCTGGAAGTGACAGAAGTTCCCCAGGACAGGAAAGCACACCAGACCCTGCGGGCCCAGAGCTGGAGCACTGTCATCCCACCCCGATCCATTGGCTGAAGGGAGCCCCACGGGTCACCCACGGTCGGGGGGCCCAGAATCCCCTGCCCATCAGTGGGAGCCATGGCAGTCTGTGGCCGAGGCACCGGTGCAGAGGTGGGGGTTGGGGGTGCCCTTCTCTGGATCAAAGAGTCCAAACCGCAAACACTCGGGCTCTGGTTCTGCTGTTTGTGTTCTCTCTGGGGAGATTTTCTTTCCATAAACTGGCTTTGTCTCCGGGACTCTGTCTCCTGGGAACCGAGGCAGCTTCCCTCTGAGGGCACGTGGTCTCCACGGGAACCTGGGGACGCTCCCAGCCTGGGACTGCGGCTCGCTGAGTCTCAGCCGTGTCTCCCCAGGCCTGCGTGGCCACCAGCGTGGTTGAGCCTTCTCAGCAGGATTCTCGGTGGCGACATGGTTTTGAATCCGAGGGGTAAACACCTAAGAGTGTGGTAGCTGATCATCTTCTCCGACTGAACCGAGTTTGTCTGTCTTCCAAGATGAGTGGGCCTGGCTCCCACCCGCCCCCGGCCGGCACCAGTCCCCGTGGCTCTGCAGCCCTGCCAGCGTCGGCATCGCCAGGCCTGCTTGCAGCTCCCTGAGGGAAACTGAGGGGCGGCGTCTTGTTCCTTTCCACCCCCGGCACCTCCTGCGGGGAGGGTCTTGTCAGGTCTTCCGCCCGTTTTCCGTCGGTGTTGTTTTCTTATGCTCAAGTTTGAAGCGTTCTTTGTACATTTTGGATAAAAGCGTCTTGTCTGATGCCTGTTTTTTCCTGACTGCGACTTACCTTTTTATTCTCTTAACAGATCTTTTACAGAACAGAAGGTTTTAAACAATGACATCAGATTACACTTTGTCTGTTTTGGATCGTGCTGTTTATGTCACATTTTTAAAGTCTTCACCAAGCCTGAAGCCCCACACCTCTTCTTCAGTGTTTTCTCCAGACATCGGATAGCTCTGTGTTGAACTGGTCTTGTGGTCTCTCCTGAGCTAGTTCTGCAGCCGGTGGCCCTGGTCCCGGGCCCTCTCTCGGGTACATGGCTCTGTCCCTTTCCCGTGTCCTGTGGGTCTATCTGTGGGCTCTCCGTTCTGCCCCGATGACCTGTTTCTTGCCGCGTGTCTCTTCTTTGGCCCGTGGGCTGCTGGCTGGTAACACGCAGGTCATGGTGAGTCGCGGGGTCAAGTGCCGTGCTCCTTCCCGCTTGGCTCTTCTTCACCATTGTGTCCCCAGGCTAGTCCCTTGCCCCTCCACGCCAGCCTGAGCAGAGTCTGTACGTGTGACAAATGGCTTGCTGAGCCTTGGGTGGGAGACCCACAGGCCAAGCTGGGGAGAATGAATTCTTCGTGAGACTAATCCTCCACCCATGGACACAGGCTCCCTCCTGTTCATGCAGACGTGTGACTTTTTAAGCCGTGTTTGATAGCTCCACATAAAGCTCCCATTTTGTTATTTTGTTAGACTCCTACCCGACTCTATCAATCTCGGTGCTGTTATAAATGGCATCACCCCCCAACTTGGGATGCCAATTGCTCTTCGGGGGCAGAGGCAAGCCATTGGCCCTGGGTGTCAATCTTGGGTCCCTGAGCGGGCTAGTTTCTAGATGTGAGAGCATTTGGGCAGTTCTTTGGGACTTTCTCCCTAGAGGATCACTGCATTTGAAAACAGAGCTTTCTGGCTTCCACCTGTTTCCTTTCCTCGCCGTCCTGAACCAGTCCCGTGTGACTCTTTCCCTTTGTGCTTGGTTTGCACCACCCAAACTGACCTCCACCTGCTCCTGTGGGTTCTCAGCCATCACAGCTGGGACCAGTTCTCCACTCCGGGAGGGAAGCCGAGGTCCCACCTCCACGCACTCTTTCTGCCACCCGCCCATGTCCCTCCGTGCTCCGCCTTTCCTACATGACCCTGTCGCTTAGGCGATGCACCCTGACAAAGGCTTGCTGTGGGACAGCTGTCACACAGGAGTCCGCTTCTTTTCACCACTTTGGGTTTTCTGCTTGATCATGGGCCACAATCGCCACCTCCTCATATGGGGGACTTCTCTGCCGGCTGCAGGCCCCACCGTGAACCCTGTGCCGGCCTATATGAAGGCACTGCTGTGGGCGGGCTCTCCTAGGACCCCCACCCCACACCCAGGGGCACGGCTGTGAGCAGCCTGGGGGCCAGGGCAGCCAGAGTCTCTCCTGGCCTGGGAAGGGCTCGCACTTTCTAGAATCTGGTTCCCTAAGCCCCCACTGCTGCCTGGTGGGTTTCTAAAACTCTCGCATGGTCCGCAAGACTTGTTCACCTCGGTGGGGTGGGAGTCACGGTCGGCAAAGCCCCTTCTCCTCCTTGTCACCTCGTTGCTGCTGTGACTAGGGGATCTGACCAGAGCGATTGTAGAGGGGGACAAGTTTATTTGGCTCCATTCCTTGGGGCTGGGGGTGAGGCCAGGCATCACGGTGGGAGAGTGTGGTGGAGGGAAGCAGCTCACCAGGTGATCCGGAAGCAGAGAGAGGGTCCAGCTCCAGACACGAATATAGACCCCACGGCCCCAGCCCCAATCCCACCCCCTCCAGCCACACCCCTCTGGCCTCCAGTGCCCTCAGTCAGTCCCACCGGGGAGTCAATCACTGGCTGGGTTAAGGGTGTCGCCCTGTCATCTCTCCTCCAGACCTTTCTGGCATCGTCTCACCCGTGAGCCACACCCTAACCCTGAGGTCACAGGTCCTTCAGTCCACTCCTTCACAGGGCTGTGGCTCCTGAGGTCCAGAGCGCCCCCAGGCTTGGGTTCCTGAGATCAGCCAGCACCTGTGAAGCGGTCACAGCTCATTTTCTGGCCTCTTCCCTCTGAGCTTGGGTTTGCATTTGAATGGTCACTTCCTCTGCTGCTGGAGCTCGCAGAGCCTGCTCCTGTGGCCCCCTGAGGGACGCCCTCGTGCAGGCCTTAGAGTTGGATCACTGGCCCCTGAATGGTGGGACCAGGAGCACCGTTCCCAGCCCCAGCACCTTGTGTGCCATCTCTGTGCTCAGGCTGAGCAGAGCAGGCCCTGTTCCCCTCCTCAGGTCTGCTGCCTCTTGGGTGGGGACATGGAACCACAAGCCAGATCTGAGAGGCCAGGCCTGGCTCGCCCTCTCCCCCAACCTGGGGTTCCACCTTCTGTCCCCCACACTCCCATCCAGACAACTGACAGTCCTCTCAGAAGACCCCGTGCTGACCCCTGCATGTAGTGGAGAGGAGGGGAGGGTGGCCTTGACCTTCAGCAGAGGGGGTGCGAGAGGGTGCAGGGGCCAGAGAGGAGGCTTCCAGGGTAGGGTCACTTCCCTAGGAAGGGCCTAGGGTGCCTCCCTGGTGGGACTCCAGGAGCTGCCCAATCGATGGAGCCTGGTTGGGTGGAACAGGCCAGGGTGTGGCTAGCAAGCCAGGGGTCTGCCTCCTGCTAAGGCCCAGCAGAAAGCAGACAGTGGAAGACAGTTCTGTCCTGTGCCAGCCACCCGGTTCCCTGGTGACCCTCCTTCACTATGGTGGGCAGGGGCTGCAGAACCCGCCCTGCAGGGACATTGGTGCTGTCCTTTGGAGGCCGAGGCTGGAGGCCAGCTGAGCGCGTGTCTCTCCCCAGGGAAGCAGCTGCCCCCCTTGACTAGCCGGCTGTACTTCTCCCAGGAAGAGACGACCACCGTAAAACGAAAACCCCGAGGTAGCCTTTGCCTTCCCTGCCAGACAGCCCCAAGGAGGTGGGCTCGGCAACCGCGCCTGCCACGGGGCGGGGTCTCCCTGGAGGGCCGGGTGCAGGAGGGGTGTGGGGGGAGAGAGGACAGTGCAGGGACGCCGACCGTGAGCACCTGCTGGGTCAGAGCTGGGTGCTGGGGAGCCACTGGGCACTGCCTATGAGGCGTCCAGCTGGGACAAGGGCAGGGTGGGTCAGCACAGGGGGCGCCTGGAGGAGCAGGTCCCCGACAATGGAGGCAGGAAGGCATGGCCAGTGGGGGCAGGGGATGTAAAAGGGGCCCTGGGTCACTCATGGGTCATCCAAGCTGCACTTGGGGAAGCCCTGGTCTGTGCTGCAGAAATGCCCTGAGGCTGAGGCTGGACGGCTCTGGGGTGGAGGCGTGGTGAGGACGGCCCACCCGCCCTGACCACCGTACTCCCGGGCACTCACACCTCTCCAGCCATCAAAGAGTCCTCGCCTGTGGACGTCTGCACCACCTCGGGCTGCGTGATGGCAGGTGAGGCGCAGCCCACCCAGGGCCCTCCTGGAGTGGGGGGCCGGGCTTGCTGGGGCTCCCTGCACCTCCTTCCTGCCCCTGCAGCTGCAGCCTGGTGGCTCTGAGGACCAGGGCTCTGCTCTCCTGCTGGTGTCAGAAGCTGCCATTTGCACAGGTCGGGTGGGGAAGGGACAGGAGAGACTCCAGCAGGCGCTTCTGCCAGAGTCGGTCCTGCAGCGCCAGGTGGTCTGTCTGCACGTCCCCAGCCTCCAAGGGACCAGAATTCAAGGGAGGGCTCCGGGTGTCTGCAGGAAGGGGGTCCAGCTGAGAGCACTCTGCAGGGAGCCTGAGCATCCCCTGGGCCCAGCACAGGGACTCAGCCACCCCCAGCAGGAAACAAACCCCAGGTGGGGGCTAAGCACACCTGACGGCTGAGAGGCTCAGGTCCTGCCAGGAGCCAGGAGCTGGCGCCAGCTCAAGGGCAGGGCCAGCCGCCTGGAGCCAGGCTCATCTCCACCCAGGGCCTCTCAGGTCAGACTGCTGTGTCCCCAGAAGGGAGACTCAGGAAGCCAGGAGGCTCCAAGGTCATGTGGTCCTTGAGCAGCAGCCCCAGACTTGAACCCACCTTTGATTCCAGCCTTACGTGGCTCAGAGGGTGACTGCCCCTCCCAGGGGCACATGGCTGCAGCTGGTTGGGGAGGGAGACTCCGTGAGCAGAAAGTCAAGTCAGGCCATCTGCACCCCACCCTGGGACAAGCAGCTGCTAGGATCCTGCGGAACATGGACCCGACCAAGGAGCCCTGTGAAGACTTCTACCAGTACGCCTGCGGAGGCTGGCTGCGGCGTCACGTGATCCCCGAGACCAGCTCGCGGTACAGCGTCTTCGACATCCTGCGCGATGAGCTGGAGGTCATCCTCAAAGGTGGAGCAGCGTGGGGACAGCACTGAGCCAGGACGGGGGGCTGGCTGGGTCTCTCAGTGCAGTCCCGGGGCCTCCTGGGTCTCCCCTTTATCAGGAGCTCCCAGGGCACAGGCCTGCTGACCCTGGCCCCCAGCAGTCACCTCAGACCTCGGTCCACATCTCCTCTGCCCTCAGGTGTGTTGGAGAAGTCCACTGACAAGGACCGGCCCGCAGTGGAGAAGGCCAAGATGCTGTACCGCTCCTGCATGAACGAGAGTGAGTGGGCGCCAGGTGTCTGTCTGCATGTCCCTGCCTCCCGGGGGGAGGGGGGGCTCCAGGTGTCTGCAGGAAGAGGGTCCAGCTGAGAGCACTCTGCAGGGAGCCTGAGCATCCCCTGGGCCCAGCACAGGGACTTAGCCACCCCCAGCAGGAAACAAAACCCAGGGAAGGGCCCTGGTGAGACCTGCAGGTGGGCTGCTCCTGCCAGGGCCCAGGCGTGGGAGTGGACACTGCCCAGGGCTCAGGCCATGGGTCTGTGCGCTGTGCCCTCCAACTGGCCTGTGGGTCCATAAGCAGACCTGTTGTCGGCTGCCCTGTGATCTCACTCACACCCAGGCCACTCTCTGTCCAGGCAGCGGGGGTCCTGCCGGGAGCCCAGGAGAAGCATGCATGTGTGAGTGTTGCATGTGTGCATGTAGTACACAACCATCGCGAGTGTCTCTGTGTTATACACACGTGTTTCTGTGGTGTGTACACACATGTGCATTGTGTGCGTGTCTAGCAGGTGTGTGCTCTGTGGGTGTGCTCTGTGCAGGCACATGTGTGGGTGTGCATGGGTGCCGTGGCCGTCCTCGGTCTCTGCCTTTTCTGCACGGCCTGCACTTACTTCTGGGCGGCTGCTCTCCTGAGCCTCTGCAGACCTGCTCTGCACTGGGGGCGCCTGTCTTGGGTTCCAGCCATCATCTCTAGCACAGCCCCACCCCCGCTGGAACACCCAGGGCTGCCGGTTCTGGGGACCACGGTGGCAGTGCTGGTCAGGCTGGCCATTGCTCTCCTAGGCTCACTCACCTGCTGCCAGCCCCCAGGTCCCTGCCCTGTCCTGGGGCCGTGTGCTCTCGCCAGCCCCAGCCCCCTCCACGCCTGTGCTAAGATGCTGATCCTGTGAAGGGGGCGTGGGCTGGGGGTGACAAGTCCCCTTGGGCCCGGGTCAGGCATGTGAGCCCCCTCTTCCCCTTCTTAGGCGTGATAGAGAAGCGAGACTCTCGGCCCCTGTTGGACGTCCTAGAGACCGTGGGAGGGTGGCCAGTGCTCATGGACAAATGGAATGAGACCAAAGGTGAGGCCAGGCCTGGAGACAGCCTGGAGAACAGACAAGTGGACATAGCCCCTGGGACACCTGGGGACCCAGGCCCTCCAGGGGGGGCCACCCTTCTGTCTGGCTTCCGGCTCTCAGGAAGTCCCAAGAGGCCCATCTCTGCCAGCACCACCTCAGGGCCCTGGGAGCAGGCTCAGGGTCCTAGCCAGAGAGCAAGTGCCATCTGTGACTGGGGCTTCCTAGGGCTGACCCCGAAGCTCTCGAGGGCACCCCTCCCCGACTCCCAGTTCCGAGCGTGCTCTGGGACCCCTCCAACTCAGGGTCCGAGTGACCACAGAGCAGTTAGCGGCCCCCACGCAGTGCTGCACTGGGGGCCCAGTTGTCCCTGTGGCCCGTGTGGGGAGGTGTGACCCCTCCCTCGCGCTCCAGCCCTCTGGGCCCACAGTCAGCTGGTCACCCCCACCCGGGCAAGGGTCCCCTCCACCTGGAGCTCTGGGCTTAGGAGGCAGACGCGTTGCCTGGCGAGGGCTGGGCTGAGACCCCAGGCCCTGACGGTCTCCAGAGTGGGCGTGACTCCCCAGGCCCCCAGTGGAAGCTGGAGCAGCAGCTGGCCCTGATGAACGCTCAGTTCAACAGGCGCGTCCTCATCGACCTCTTCATCTGGAATGACGACCAGAAC